TACTTTGTCAATTGCCCAAGCTCAACTTGGCGATGACGCACCAAGGTGCTATGAGATGTTGTAAAAATTTGTTGTAAATGATGGACTAAAAAAACCGAACGATGTTGCCCTCCTGTACAGCCAATAGCAACCGTGACATAACTGCGTTGGTCAGATTGCAAACTAGGCAACCATTTTTGGAGGAAATTCACAATATCGTGTAAATAATCTTCGGTTTCAGGATGACTCAACAAAAAATCTTTGACGGGCTGATCCAAACCTGTTAAAGGTCGTAAAGTTTTGTCATAAAAGGGATTGGGGAGCAACCTTGCATCAAAAACAAAATCGGCATCAATCGGCACACCATATTTATAACCAAATGATTCAAATAGCAAAACCAATTGATCAACTGGCGAGTACTCAACAAATTGCAACACCCATTTGCGTAACGTTTTGGCTGGCAAGTGGCTAGTATCGATCACATGAGCAAAATCAGCAATCGGTTCGAGTAATTCGCGCTCTTTTTCAATCGCTTCGGTCAGCGCGGTTATAAATCCTTCGCCATCATTAAAGGTCAATTGAGATAAAGGATGTTTACGTCGCGTTTCTGAATAGCGCACAATTAAGGTCGGACTATCAGCATTTAAAAACAAACAACGGACATCATGCCCTTGCGCTTTGAGCGTTTGAATGATGCTGGGCAAATCGGTTAACGCAGCACTGTTACGCACATCGATAGCAATGGCCATGTTTAAAACACCTTCCAAGCTGGCGGTATCAACCAAGCTCGTGATCAGTGAAATAGGTAAATTATCAACGCAATAAAAATTATTGTCTTCCAAGACATTAATCGCGACTGATTTTCCTGATCCTGAAACACCTGAGATAAGGATGATTTTCATAACAATCTTTTTTGTTGGGGGCCTGGCAACTCCTGTCTGGTCATTTCATCACGTTGCCTGTCTATAAAATCTTTGAGCGTGTCAATACCGCGTAACTTTAAAATACTGTTGCGCACCGCTGCCTCGACCAATACTGCCATATTACGACCTTCAGCCACTTGAATCGAGACTTTGGGAATGGCTAACCCTAAAATATCAGTTGCTTGTTGATCCAGTGGCAAACGCTCGAAAGTACCATCATTTCGTCGTACCAATTGTACCACCAGCTTTAACTTCATTTTGCGTCGCACGGCGGTTTCGCCAAAAATGGTTTTAATATCGAGCAAACCCAATCCGCGCACTTCTAGCAGGTTTTGCAATAAGGGTGGGCATCGTCCTTCAACAAACTCAGGGCCTAAACGAACAAAATCAACGGCATCATCAGCGACCAAACCATGTCCTCGTGAAATCAACTCTAAACCCAACTCGCTTTTCCCCAAACCAGACTCACCAACAATCAGCACCAACCTCAGTAAATTTGGTCGCTTCGACTTTGACAAATGGTGCGTTAGCTATTTTAGCCAGACGCCTTGCGATCTCGGTTTTACCCACGCCTGTAGGCCCAATCATGAGGATGTTTTTAGGGGTGATTTCATGACGCAAGGGTTCAGCCACCTGCTGACGACGCCAGCGATTACGTAAAGCGATGGCAACCGCCTTTTTGGCATCTTTTTGCCCAATAATGTTTTTATCAAGCTCTGAAACAATTTCAGCAGGAGTCATGGTTGATTTCATATAAAACCTATATTAAACAATGTATTAAATTTGTGTTGGCAGATGCAAAGTCATCGTAGCGTTGTGCCGCTTGCATTGGTGAACAAAGTGTCGTTTTTTGCATACATACTCATGACTATTCAAAACGTTGCTTTATCATGGTCCCTAGCCATATTGCAGGTCAAGCTTTTGTCGTTGTTTAACGTGCATTTGATCAGGAATTGGAGTGACACGTGAAATGGCAACACAAAGACCGACAATAAGCTTGCTGAAGTAGCATTTTCATTCTTAAGGAAGAGAACAGGCGTGCTAGAATGAATCGATGTTACTTTGGCTGTGATGGCAGGGTTTCGATAATATGGCTGTGATTGGTGTAAATACAAATGTCACCAGCAATCTTGAGTGATTGTGCCACAATATCAGCGGCAGTCAGTGTGCTGTGGCGGCGAAGTGCTAGTGCCGCAGCTTCAGCAAAGCCACCACCTGAACCAATCGCAGCAACATCATGTTCGGGTTCGAGAACGTCTCCATTACCTGTAATCACAAGAGTTTGCTCTTGATCTGCAACGATGAGCATCGCTTCAAGCCGACGTAACATACGATCCGTTCGCCAATCCTTAGCAAGCTCGACAGCTGCACGTGTCAAATGACCCTGGAATTTTTCCAGTTTAGCTTCAAAGCGATCGAGCAAAGAAAAAGCATCGGCCGTGCCACCAGCAAAACCAGCTAGAACCTTGCCATGATAAATTTTGCGTACCTTTCTTGCATTGCCTTTAATGATCATATTACCTAAAGTAACCTGACCATCGCCACCTAATGCAACGTTTTTTTCATCGCGTACGCAGACGATAGTTGTGCCGTGATATTGTTCCATAC